CGGCGGCTCTGGACTTAGCTGAGGCCGGCGAAGGGTGGGGGGAAACCAAGTTGAAGAGTAAAAGACTAAGGGCCTTCCAAGCTCATTTGTTTATTTATTTAAAATGTCCGTCTGCTATCTTTCTCCTCAAAAGGACCCAATTTATGAATTCATTGCGTGGCTTGAGGTGCGCCTCCACTGTAGGAACGAGGAATGTAAAGCACTGGGTTCAAATCTTGAGGTTCCCAGGTGCTTGTGCTAGCGGTCGTCTGGGGAAAGTAACTTTTTGCAACCTCTGCGCGCTCCCTTCTGCCCTGTACAGTCCTTTGAAGGCTTCCTGCCATCTGTACTGCTTCCTCCCCCCCTTTCATTTTAAAAAGTGGATTTGCTTCTCCTAAGGTGTAACTTGTTTGCATTAAAATTAATTTGTATTTCGGGCTCTCCTCCTTTTGCCTTGGGCTCCGGGCAGCCCTGGAATGACTTCCAGCCACCCCCAGCCCTAATTTCTCTGAAATGGAATTTAAGGCCTCACACTGAAAAAAAAAAGGGTTTTCCTAGGTAGAGAATATTCAGGCGTGGCCGTTCCCTCCTTCAGGGACTGCCCTGGGACTCTGCAGCTGGCCCAGGGCCACCCAGGCTGGCGGTCCTTGTAGGAGGTAGCATAGGGATTCAAACTCCCAACTCTGGCACCACAGCTAGATGATACCTAAACGACTGAGATCTCCAGCCACCTGTTACACAGAATTACTGTACAGATTGTACAGTTGTACAGATTACTGACGTGAACGATACAATTTGAAAAGTGCCAATAAAGACTGCAGCCGAGTTTTGCAGGATAGGGCTCTGTATTCAGGAATCTGTACGCTTTGTTCCGGTCTGTCTCCCTAATGCAACAACCCACCCCGAGACCTCCAGTATTGTTTTGTATGCAACAACATTCTTCTCCCAGCATTAGAATTCATGTGAAGCCTAAGGATAAAATACTGAAATTAGATGTGCAATGTTAAATTGCCTTTATACCCCAATCATCTGTGGCTACCTAGCATCGGGTGGAGGGCCTGCAGCCCAGAACGGGAGATCAGGCTTTCTGTGTGCACCCTGCCTGGGACACTCACCTCTGCTTGACTTTAAGATAAATAAATAAATAAATAAAAATGAGGCGGGTTTTATGCCCATTTTCAGTCAGAGGAACTTGCCAACCATAAAACACTCGTAAAGTCACCACGTAATTGATACATTTAAATAGATGGAGTTAAATATTTACCAGTGGAAGCGAAATAAACCGTGATGCAAGCACCCACATCCACAGAAAGGGACACAGAGGTTATTGGGCAGGTTTAAAAGAAAAAAAGGCCCCAGGTTTGAGTCTCAGCATCTCCAGGGACAGCTCAGCAAGTGTCACTGCTGACTCTCCCGGACCAGGTGGATCAAGAAGACCTCCCTTTATACTTGCTAATCACGACAGCTTGATCAGGCCTGATTTGAAACGCCACCTCTCCATGTTGGCGTGTGCGGACGGATCGAAAGCACTTCTGTGCACATACAGAGTGTCCTACCCCCATCTCTGGGTGACCCTTCTCCAATCTCTGTGGGTCAGAGACCCAGGAGAAGGTCAGCGAGGCAGGCTGAAGCTCTGATAACTCTCCGTTTAGAAACTGGGAGAGGCTCTGCGCCGGAATGGGTTTCCCCAAAACGCACCCACGCCAACCTGTTTCTGTTGCAATTTTTGTTTTGTTTGCAATTTTTTTCTTTAACTAATTCAATTATTAATTAATTCATTTATTCATTTTTTGAGAGGGTAGACATTCTCACTTTCCATTTGAAGCTGGCCCATATTTTCCTACTACTTATTCCGACATTTTTGCTCTTCTCTGCAGGGGGCTGGCAGGGGGCCCGGAAGAGGTGGACTTGAACAGTATCTTTTGATCTGAGATGTCTTGTGATGCTTTTACAACTAGCAGATTTATTTCTGTGTGGCCTTCCACAGATTATAATCCACATCTTTAGGCACCTGTGGAACAATATTTGGTGTGTGTGCACGCGCGCGCACACACACACACACGAGAGAGAGAGAGGGGGGGAATGGGGACCAAATAAAATAGGAAAAAGATACAGGTGATGACCTTTCAAACCAATAACAGCCTTGTAAACACGAGTAATGAACATCCAAGCATCAGATTCCAAATGCACATGGCAACATTCATAACAGCAATGGGACTATATTCAAAGCAGGCTTTCTGTCCAAAGTTGCCAACTTCTTTTATCAGCACCTGCTCCTCTGCCCTTAACCAACAGCCTGAGCTGCTGCCATCCTCAGGCTGCTCTGCCACCCGGCTCTGCGCTGTGCAGAGCCTTGCAGAGATGAACTGAAGGAGTGCGTGCACAGGGCCTTTCAATGCTGCACATGTCCAAACCACATGTTTACACATGGATAAGCACACAGCTGGATCTTTCATAGCTACGTCAGTGCTAGTATATACAAAGCGCTGGGCAAGTCCGACCATCATGCTTGCTTGCAAAGATATGTATGTGAGTGACCCTCTGACACACGGATCGCCACCAAAAAGACACTGAGGATGCCTACAGACCAGGAGTGGAGCAGGAGAAAAAGTGTTGCTTTAAACTACACTAAATAATAATAATAATAATAGAAGACAAAAATGTTGTGGCACAACCCACTTTCTTTCTTTGTTTTATGAACTATGACAGCTACCTCTTCTAAAACTACTTCCTTTGACAACAAGATCTCAGGATTTGCCCGTAGCTAATCCATGCCCAGGGCCGAAGCCCAGGAAAGGAACTTTCCTGTACTTTTAATAACAAGCTGCAATTAAATGGCCACCTGTCTCAAATGAAGCCCTCTGTACATGCACAAAGGCATGATCCTCAACCATAGCATATCAACAAGCCGGGGCCTTTGCAGAGGCATGACGCCGATTCCAAAGCATTCCTGAAGAGTTTCCCATTTTATTTATTTTCCCCCAAGTGGCGAAATTTAAAAAAAGGAAAGGGAGGGGTACTTGGGGCTGAAACAATGGGGAAAGGAGTCAGAGAACACCGAGCTGAGAACCACGGAAAGGGCTTCCCCTTAACGCTGTGACGGCAAGCTTTGTGCCTCGTTTAGATTCCACTTGGATTTTGCCACCCTTTGAGTTTAGGACACTTCTTTGGAACAGAGGATTCCTCCCTCCCTGCTTCCTAAACCATGCTGAAGGACTAGGATTATGATCATCGGTCAATAGCAGAGTCGAGGAAATAACACAAGAGCCAGTGACACAAACACAGGGGTGAAAAATAGTGTTGGGACATCTTTTGGGCTAACCCGTCCATTTAAGTGTGAGCAGGGCATAAGGCCCACCCCTTGGATTGACAGGGCACGGTATGTGGTCTGAAGGAAATCCATGAACCAATAAGAGTCATTCTGAACGCACCAGCCTAAAGCATGCCCAGAAAAAAAACAACTCAGTATTTCCTTCTAAGTTATTAAACCCAGGTTTAAACTCCAGAACTGCCCCCACCCCAGCGGTTATTCCAGTGTGAATAACAATAACAACAAGCATCATCCTCACCATCATCTTAGAATTGGGACCCTACGGGTCCTCATCGAGTCCAGCCCCTGTCCAGGAGGCACGGTGTGTGTGTGTGTGGGGGGGGAGGAATCCCACCCCCGACCTCCGGCTCCGCAGCCGGAGACCGAAACTTTTCGAAGTGAAAGAGGGAAGAACACGCAAGGCGCTAGTCCCTCTTCTCTGGGTTAATCGGAAATGTGAAATCCACAACAACGAGCGCTATCAGGGAGTGATTATTCCAGATTTAGACAAGAGAATCAACAAGGCCGCTGGAGTCATTGTCGCTGCAGAGTTCGTTACCCGAGGTTTGAGGGCGAGTTTCCGCCTTGGAGAGGTTCAGACCCCGCGGAAGACACCCAGCCCGGGCTGGCAGAGATGGAGACGTGTCTGGGCAGGATCCCCGCGGGACCTTGGGGAGCGCTCCTTGCGGCTGGGGATACTGGGCCTTGTAGTCCCCTTCCCAGGACGGTCTCCCCCGGCCCAGCGCCCGGGAGGAGGGGGAGCGCGCGCCCTCCGAGCCTACCTTCTGGTCGACGATGGAGCAGGCGAGCTGCTTCACGTGGGCGAGCTCCGAGGAGGCGGGCAGCAGCACGAACTCGCGGGTCAGCCCGATCTGGATGTGGAAAGACACGCCGGCGGCGTGGCAAGGGGCCGAGGAAGGGCCGGCGGCGGGAGCGGCCGGGGCGGCCGGGAGGGCGCACAGTGGAGGAGGAGACCCTCACAGGGATGGAGAGGCCGGAGCAGCAGCCGGCGCGCCTGGCTCCGGAGACGCCCCGCCAAGCGCCCGCGGAGCCACTTTGCGCGCCCGCCCTGCGCTTTTCTCGCCCGGACCAACTTTTTTCCCCCTCCCTCTTTCTCTTCGGTTCTTTTTTTTTCCTCCCGAGGAGGAAGTGCGGTGAGTGACAAGCCTCCGCGCCAATGGCGAGAAGCGGGGATGAAGTCACCACCGCCCGCCTTGGCGCTCCGGAGTGGATCCGGAACGCCCGGCGCGCCTCTGAGGATCTCGGGGCGGGGGGGGAGGCGGATGGGCTTTTGCTGGCACTTTGGGAAGCACCCCCCTCCGGATGTGTGTGTGTTCAGCGGCTCAGCCCTCCCTGAGTTGGAAAAGAGTGCGTTAGAGCATGTGCAGAGTGACGGTCTGGCTTTCTCGCCGAGAGGGCGGCCAGACGCCATTCCGTCGGGAAGAAGGCGTTGCGGCCGGATGGTTTTGGGATCCCGGCTCTTCTCTCTCTTACCGAGAAAGGAACCAGCTGCTAAACTTTCTTTCCCAGGATTTAAAACCACGCAGGGGTGTCCAAACCGCCGCTGGGAGGCGCGGAAAACTTCTCCGAGTCGCGTTGAGCGCTTGGGGACGTTGCTTTGTTTGGACTGCCGCTGCCAGAATCCCCCCCCCCGGTCTTCCCCCAAGTAACTTCGACGACCCCAGCGGTTTCCTGACGCTGGATCGTGTCTTCACGCGGGCTTACAGGGGGCGGCCCGACGGAGCGATGACCAACTCTCCTTGCCCGCTTGTCGAGAGGTTGAGAGGCGGTGGCGGGCCGTCCCCAGGGAATCCCAGGCGGGAGTGGTAATTTGAACCCAGGTCTCCAGGGTCTTATTAAGCTCACCGCCGCACCGCAGAGGCTCTGCTTGAAAAGTGTCCGGAATAAATAGCCTGACCGGCCCCCTTCACCGGTTCTTAAGGGCGAGGAAAGGAACCAGGGAACGTCGGTCTAATTTCTGATGGGGTGCCACAGACCGGGGGGGAGGGAGACCTCTACAAATGCCCCTCACCCCCCCTCCTTTGCTGTCACCCCCTCCCCAGCTTTTCCCATGGATTCAGAGGCCCTTTTCGGGGGGGAAAGAAGCCCACCCCTTAGCTAAAGAGGTGAAGCCGATATTAAAGTCCATTTAGCACGGATGGGTTGTGTGTTCTTGCTCTTAGGGCACCAGAGAGCCCGCGTGGATTGGGAAAGGGATCCAGGGACCGCAGAGGCCCTCGCTCGGTGGGACGGTTGTCCATCTCAGATCCTGCCTCTTTTTCACCTGCTTCGGCGGCAGACACATTTGGGGGGGGGGCTGCATGCCTGCCTGGGGTGTTTGGTTTTTCCCGTCCCCCCTCTCAGCTGGCACCATGGAGCTTCCTGCTTTTCGTTTGTCCCGATTAATTTCCCTTTTTTTCCCCCCCACCGAGGCAGGCGGGGGAGCCTTCCTCTTGCATCTGGGGAAGGACCGGCTGGCAGCTTTCCTTACTGTGAAGACACCGAAGACTGTATTTCCCTCCGTGTTCTGCTCCCACCGTTTTAGCGGAACAATTTACCGGCCTCTTCTGTTTTTATTTTACTTTCCTCCACAGCTGGTAAAGTCCTCAAGGCCGCCCAGCAAGGCATCCTCATCCACATCATCTTAAAACTGCAGATCTGGAAGGGACCCCCGTGGATGATTGAGTCCAGCCCAACAAGGAAGCATCGAGGGCGATCTCGCTTCTGCTGCAAATACACACCAGTGGCCACGTGGATGATTGAGACCAGCCCAACAAGGAAGCACCGAGGGCGATCTGGCTTCTGCTGCAAATACACACCAGTGGCCATAAGCAAACCGTCTCCCACTCAGTCCCTATGTGCTAATTTTATTGACACATCTGCCACTGTCGAGGGGATGATGATGATGATGCTCAGCCAGTGGGGCGTGCCTCCCTTCCAAGAGAAAGCACGCCAAGATATCAGAGGAGGCAGGTCTAGTCTGAAAATAAAATAAACGGAATACAATCTTCAGGGGAAAGGGAGGTTGATTAAACATCTTGCTTTCCTAATGGCAGCTTCTTCCATCATCCTAAGACAAGAGTGCAGCTGGAAAAAAAAAGGATCACTTTTTTTTTCTTGCTTTGATTTGTATTTAGCACCTCAAATTTCTTACAAAAATATGAAGGGAGTCAGGTCGGTAAAGGAGCACGGAGGGGGGGGGCTTTTGTTTAGCAAAACTAAGGAGCAGGAGGAGTTAAAACAGTGTTGAGGAACACAACGGATCAGGCTGGCTAAGGAGTCAAGACTTTTGCAGAGGTTGCCAGGCTGACTGGCCCTGAACGGGTCAGGAATGATCCCAGTCCAGCCTGGAGGTGCCCCAGCTGGAATACGGGGCTTTGTTTAGACAAAGCTAGTAAGGGACAGGCATCCTCGGGGTTGGCCGAGGCTTCCCACACCTGTCTGGATAATTTAGAAGGCGAGGTGCGTGTGTGTGTGTGTGAAGCGCAAGCCTCGTCCAGCAGTGGCCTGGGTGGGGCGGTCACCCTTCAGCCTGCCTGTCTCCAGAAACATCCTGTTGGCCGGGAATGATTTCACAGGGTCTGGAGCCCAAGACTTGCCCCGTTGATTGCTCCTGGACAGCCCCCAAGTTCGAGATTCCCAGGAATCCGGAAACGCCAGCCTCAAAGAGATCCCTTTCCCACCCATCTGGTTCAGAGCCCAGAGCATGTGAGGAGTGCACCTCCTTAGGGCCCTTGTTTTCGTATGGTTTTAATAAGCAGGACGACGAAACTGGGTCCTGCCCATGTGCAAACTTTTCGGTTTGCTCTTGGCCTATAGGTGCGGAGAGGCCCTGCAGGTCTTCAGTAGAGATGGGCGCGAACTGCCAATTTGGTGAATCGTGGCGGTTCGTGTATCAGCTGAACGGGGTTCAGTGCTTCGCAGCCTCGCCTCTTCCAGCAGGCACCTGCTCAGAGGTAGCTCCCCAGTGGGGCTGGGAAGCACTGGAACCTGTTTGGCCACCACAAATCACCGAACCAGAAGTTCATGCCCATCTCTATTCTTTAGTCACGGCCTGTACTCTGTATATGCTCAGAGATCTTCTCATTTTCTAATCGCCTGTATGTACCCACCATCTAGTTATGCTGCTCTGTATCCTGCCATTCTGTTCTAGTGGATATCTTGTGATTCTCAGTTACTAAGTGGAAGAGGGGATTAGAGATGCCCAGAAGTAGAAATCATCACTATCATTGTGTGTCGTCAAGTCCATTTTGATTTACGACGACCCTTTTCAGCGTTTTCCAAGTAGTGAATATACAGAAGTGGTTTCCCACCCCCTTCTTCTGAGGGTGCCCTGGGACTACCATGCAGTTTGCCCACGGCCACCCAGGCTGGCTCTTCTGGGGGTACACAGTGGAGACCTGATCTCCCAAATTTTGCACAGATACCAAAAGGGGGCCTTAAACTGATCAGAGCCTCGAATCAGCTTCTGCATGAGCATGAAACCCTTATGAGTGTTTTCATTTGTGATTAAATGGCGGGGAACAATGAGACATCATTTGGAATGGAGAAAATTGCTAGGGAGTAATAAAAGGTATACAAAATTTTGGAGAAAATTGATGCAGCATGACAGAAGCAGCTTATAAAGCTATGCATGGCATCAAGTAAAGTATTTTTCCTTCTTCTGCTGAGGAAGCTATTCTAATATCTTCTAGCTTTCTGGCCCACCAGGGCACTCCTAGCACTGTAGAAGAGAAAGGTTTTTAATTTGTTTAGAGAGAATATTTGAAATCTGTTTTAGAACAATTTTTTTTAAAAAACAGGTCCTTAAAATCATTTTAGACCAAAACGATTTTAAACACCCGATTTTTTTTAAAAAATGTTCAAAATCAGGTTTCAAAATCCTTTCTAAACAAATTAAAAACCTTTTAAAAAGTTTATTTTTAAAAGGTCCATTTCCATACAACAGCTGGGGTGGATGGAGGTGTTGAGAAGCTGAATTAAAAGTTGAACCTAATGTTCTGATCCAGAGTGTTCTGCGTTTATCGACCCGTCTAGATTTTTCAGGGGGAGAACTGTATCAAAGCAGAGTTCTGTTTATCATTCTAGCACTGGGGGTGCTCACCCTGTTCCTTATTTCCATAAGCGTGGGGCTCAGGGCGAGGAATTTAATCATCCATTACATGTTTCAGTCAGCTGGCCTGATGATGATATATACCAGGTTTTTTGGGGGTAAAGCTGAGTGTGCTTCCCCTTCCTTTATAGGTTCAGTTTTTCTCTCTATGAATCCCAAACACTTTTCTTTCCGGCTAATCTGTTCCACCAGCTCCCCCCTCGACGCACAGATGGGTACGGAGGAATGTATGCGCGGTTCAAAAAGCAATTTGTAGCAAAGGCACAGAAGTGATTAATAATATATCCATGCCTGTATTAATCAGCACTGCCAAAAACAATTTTAATTGCATGTCTGGCTTTCGCTGATAAACGGGAAGAACGGATCCCGCTTGCCAAATGTCATCGCAACTACAGTACTTTCCTCGAGGATTAGAAGCAAGACGGCCGCTTTTTAAAAGACAAGGTACGGTAACTAACCCCGGATAAATTTAAGGAACAAACTACTGCTTGCTGTTAGCAGGTAAGGATGTTTTTCGTCAGGCTTGGGAATGTGGTTTAGCCCTGCTCTGACACTGAGCCCCTGTGATCCACCACAACCAAAGCGGGTTACAAGTCATTACAGTGGGGTCTCTACTTAAGAATGTCCCTACTTAAGAACAATCCAACTTAAGAACAGCTCCATTTGCTAAATTTTGTTTCTACCTGAGAACAGAAATCCAAGATAAGAACAGGAAAAAAAACCTTTCCTGCTCTTTTTTTAACCTTAGGTCATCTTAGGTTAAAAAAATTCTCCCCCTAGTGGTAGAGTACGTATTAACCAGTTTATGGTTCAATGTACGAACTAATGCTTCAATGTACGAACGCACCTCTA